TCTCAGTGCCTCACTGTAGACTTCATCCGGTCCGGGGGCCTTGCCATACGGCGTATTACGTAGCGCAGCAAGCAGTTCCGTAGAATTAAAAGGTGCATCAAGAGGGGAGTGAAGACGAGCAACTAAACCAGATGTGGTGGCAGCTTCGTTTTTATCCTGTGGCTCAGAACTAGATGAGAGTGAAGAACCTGAAGTAAATGTAGCGGCAGACTCGTTGTTGTTCTGCTGCCCAAAAAGAAAAGAAGCATTAATGTTCAAAGATGCACTCTGTCTGTTGATGCCTTTGGAAAACCTAACTGCCTTGTGAGAGGGGTGAAATGGAAGAAAGATGCGATTGAGAGCATTCGCTGCTCTCCTTGCTGTTTTATAAGTGTGTTGACCATCTCCCAATAACATTGATGTGGGAGATGGAAGTGATGCCTTTTTTCGTCCGGAAATGTATTTCCATGCGAGTGGCTCGCCTGTATTTAACTTGCTGATGCGGCGTAGATACGTGTTGCGCAAGCGCTCTCGGAGTAGGAGGAAGAATTGACTCCTTGTCCGTTGCATTTCTGCCTCACGGTCGGGCGACGGTAACTGTAGATAGCGGGCCTTGCTGTCGGTAGCAATCCGCTCTGCCTCCATGAGAGTGTCGTCCCAAAGCCTGGGACCGTCCTTGTGCATGCCGCGGGGGCAATGTCGTCGATACGAAGTTATAAGCGCTCTCGTGAAAGCCTTAATGCCGGTGGACTGCTTTTTATAGTCGTATGCCGGAAGTTGTGCGTCGAGGTCCTTGACGAATAAATCCCACTTGCACTTCCCCCAACTGTAGAAAAACTTAGGTGCCGAAGGTATGGTATCCTTAAATGCCTGATGCAGCGTGAATGTCAGCATGTAATGATCACTAAGCGGCGACACAGAAGCTGACCAATCCGACACAGTCAAATGCTTTGACCATGTCAGATCGATACAGGATCGTTCTCTTGTGCCACGGGCATACGTGATCTCACCAGGGGTGTTAACCAAGGTGAGTCCCGCATCCGTGCACAGTTCTAAAAATTCTGCGGCAACCTCGCTTGGAGAAGTCTCCAAGAATGGCTCCCACTGTGGGTGATGCATGTTGAAATCCCCACACAGCAGGAGCGGCGACGAGGCTGGAAGGCAGTTTACTAACCGCCTGAAGGATTGCGTTACTTGCGGTGGTGGTCTCATATAGGCACTCGCTACAATAAGATCACGGTTCTGGTCCAGAGCAACCTGGACCACCACCACTTCAAGGCTGGTGTCATGCTGGGGGATGGTGAGAGGTATACGCTCGGAGCGGAGAGTTTTCCGCACCAGCACCGCCACACCGCCTCCCTTGCCGATGCGCGACTGTGCATAGAGCACATAATCTCCAGTGTGCATGCTGGCGATCTGCTCTGACGACTTCCAAGTCTCCTGGATGGCTATTATGTCTGCTCCTTGCGCCATTAATGTTGCGAGTTTTGACGGCGTGAGGCAAGAAACGTTCATCTGGAGTACTGCTATGGGGCCTGGGTTCTGCTCAATGTCTCCGCTTGGCAGTAGCGTTTGTCGTTGCGCGTCACATACGGCACGCAAACGGTATGTGTAGCGCTGATAAGCGCCGATGGAATTCAGCAGCGGATAGAAATACCGCTCCGCGGGCAGCCATGTAAATGGCTCCATCTGGTGCCCTTCCGACCCGTTTGTGCGGCGCCTCCTGCCTCTCCGCGTGCAGCGGATGGGCAGCAGACGCTTAGCTTCCTCTCTAGCAAAGAGTACTAGACCCTGGCACCACGTTGAGGTGGCCGGCTGAGCCAGGGTTTTTAGCTCTTTTTTTTTTTTTTTTTTTTTTCTACTCTTACCAGCGCGTCTAGCTATACAGTGCCATCTGAGTGCCGAAGAGGTGGTCGAGCAACGACAAAAGTTTCCTGCTATGAAGCAACTGCCATTGAGAGAACTTTCCGAGGCGAAGGTCCTGTTCAATGCCCAGACGTTGACGCACAGCCAAGGTGCCTGGACATTCTAGAAGCAGATGGTGCAAGGTTTCCTGCGGGCCGATTGGCGTGCTTGTGGAAGCTGGCTGATCCTGCGGCAGCAGAGATCGCCGCATGGCACTGCTGTTCCGATGTCGTGTGGCGTCTGGGTTGTGTGCGCAGCGACTTCTGTGCTGTGCGGTGCTTCTCCGTGTGGGGAAAACCATGTCACAGAAATCACATTTGAGCTCGGGAAGCGGTGGAGGATGTTCCGGATGAAATGACCGACAGTGACTGACGAGACCCGAGAATCCCGTCAATGTAGAATCACAGTGAGGACATTTCTCCTTCCGACGGCGTGTGAGGGTCCGTCTCCTTACTGGAGAGACGTCTTCCTCCCTTGCCGACGGGGGAACAGTGTCCGTCCCCGGTGCAGTTGGATCGTTGTTAGAGCGCATATATGCAGACTGTTCCGGTGAGATGTTGCAGAATCGGCATTGGTTCGTGCAATCTCTCACGGCCCAGTATAGT